GGGGGAGCCGTGCCGTGTGTGACCGCCGTTATGTGGTAGTGGTAGTAGTTGTTTTCGTTTACATTCAAGAAGATCAGGCGAGTTATTTGGGCAGGTGGATTTGAGTAATACCATGATAAATACGCCTTTTTGAATGACGAATAAATGTAAATTGACGTGGTCGTTGAAGTGTTCGACCTAACAATCGACCGGCATGGGTATAACGAAACTATGTTATAGTGTTATGATGACGCGCACAGACTGTGTTGGGTTATGGGTGTAGCTAGGCCCTTGGGTGCCGCTATGCCCTATCGCTATCTAGCGTCGACTCTTCACTGCGATGGAAGGATTAATGCTGTGGCTGGTGTCCATCGCAGTGGCTGTGTGCCTGATGTGTGCTTTATGGGCATGCCTTTGGGGTTGTCGGAAAACGGAACCCAAGTAGGTACCACCGTGTCATGTTTGAAACTTTTCTTATTATTTCAGCCAAACGGTTGTGTGATGATCCTATCATTGCTTTAGTTATCAAATTGTCACAATCTAGTTAAATTTGGTAGAGGTTTATAATTAATGCCTGTTTCTCTCTTTTGCAATGCTGTGCCAGAAATGAACTCTTAGGGCTTGCTGGTATGGTGAAGCTTACCAATCCTGATGAAGCTTACAGTCAGAATGGTCAATGGGCAGCAACAAATTCGAATTCTACTCCTGCTGCATCAGATAGCCAGTCGAACAAACGGTGCTGCCTCTAACTTTTGCAGTTGCTTAAAATTATTTCAGCTGTCCAATGTTAATTAATTTTCCTATTCTTTCACAGATGTTCTACGTCAGCCAACCGCAGTCTCCCAGACCTCCCTGTGGATGTAATACATCGTCGACATCCAGATGGAAGTGTTATCTGGGAGAATCAGGAGACTGGAGGAGATACCGGCTCAGAACTCTATGCCACTGTTGAGGAAAATTCAAGACCAGGTATTACATCTGCAGACTCTTTTTTGACATTAGTGTGAATTTTGAATACCTTTTAGTTTTTTAAACACCATGTAATTTTGCAATCCCTTACATCATTTGCAGGTGCACAAATTCGTGTGAAAAAGATTGTACCTCGAGAATTGTCATCAGAAAGTAAGGAAGAAAGCGAAAGCACTCGGGAAGGTGCATCCCCAAATTGCCAACCAAATGTGATAGATGATGATGGATTTCCTACTTATGCAAGATTGCGTAAAGAACATCCTTATGACAAACTGAAAAAATGTAATTGTTAACAATACACCATTAATTTATTGCTTATTTTATACCTAACATTGTACTACAATTTTGGCCCCCTTTTAAAATGTCCAGGTGAGCATCCATATGCCCAGGTACGTCCACCAAGTTCTAGAGAGCCAGATGCAGAGCAGACAGTAACAGAGAGGTAGATATCTATCACCCAAATTATGCTGCCCGTCAATAAATTATTCTTCTTTTACCTAAAATTGACCATTATGTTGTAGGACTGATGGGTCTGATCCAGTCCCACCACCAAGAGCAAGAAAGTCTTTGTCACATGGGTCACTTACTCCACCTCAAGCTGCTGTGTCTTCTGGGGTGAATGGTTCAGATGCTGAATCCCCACGTTCACTTCATTCGGGGCAAATGCAGTGTTCTCCTCAGGGGTCAACGTCTGACATAGGTGCTGCTGTGGCTATTTCTGGTCGAATCTCTGCAAGTCAAGATTTGCCCTACATGACCCCTCCTATAACGTCAACTCAAACTCAAACTGTTCAGCACTTTAGTGGAGATTCCCAAGATTCAAGCAGTAAGACAATTTTAACTAGATTATTTGTTCTTTAAGTTATTGTAATTGCTACATTCTCAGATGAGCCTGTGTTGATTATCTTTTTATAATAATTATAGAAGGCTACACAAGTATCAGCGTACGGGAGCCCTTAGCAAATATTCGTAGACAAAGACCTCATGATTCACATTATGCAACAGTTTCAGATGATAGTGGTGAGTTGATTGTTTAAATTTACCAGGACTGTCAGATCTTGGTAATATACCAATTTTCACTAATTTGAGGATATTTTTATTTTTTTTGCCCATATAATAGATGAGATGTATGCAGCGATTGAAGATCCAAGTCAAGTTTACACCAGTGGAAGTGAGACATATGCCCAGATTCAACCACTGGCTCTTGCATCTCTGCCTATCATTCCCGTTCAGTCTCATACCCCAGAAGTTGTTGAGTGTGAGATAGTTACAAGTACTGCAACGCAGACGGTTCAAAGTGGACTGACAACTGCATCCCAACAAGGTTTTATAGCACCCCAGCCACCAAGTGTTGATAGCTTAAAACATGTGGCTCAGGCTCATTCACGGCAAGGTAGGTGTAAATATCTAAATCATTACCAATATGTATAGCAAGTACTGTCTACATTCTCCAAATTTGCTGTACCTTTGAAAGCTTGTTTGCAAGTTGTTTACCAGTCTAAATTTCATTTAGCCCCTGATATTTCTGCAGCCTCATCATCTAGTGCTACTAGTTCTGTAGCTAATTTGGGTTCTCCTAAACCTGAGAAAAGACCAGCAAACTCACCACTTCCCCCACCTCCTGCAAATTTAGCAAGTCCTGAAGGTGGTTGTAGTCTGGAGGATATGTATGCTAAGGTAATCAGTAGTTGCCTTTATTTAAAGCTTACCTACATTTATTTATTACAAATTTTAAACCCAATTCATAGTGCCTTTCACATAATTAAATTATTTTATCACAGGTTGTTAAAAAGAAGAGAGGCAGCTCTGAAGAAACGGACTCTAGGTCTCAGGAGACTGACAGTCCTAGGAGTCAACCTTCCTCCCCACAGCGACGCTTCTCCACTCCCCTTCCTTCTGATGTACCGAGCAATGATCCTGGCTATGAAACTGTAAGTGCTACTGAAGCAGTAGTTCAAGAAAATTTGCAACAGGTTCATCCAGGTTACGAAACTGTTAGAAAAGGTGCATCTTCAGACTTGGATCCAAACTACGAAGAGCTGCAAGTTGAAGGAATGGAGCCTGGTTATGCTCACATTCGGTCACATGGTAAATCTAAGGAACCAAAATATGCAAGACTTTCACAGGATCAATCCTCAAGAAAACAGGAATCAGCCATAGAACCGGACTATGCCAGTATATCAAGAGGCATTAAGGTTTCTAGTGAACATAAATCCAAGAAAAGGGAAGACGCAGATGACCCAGGCTATGAACAGGTTCGTCTTCAGAAGGAAATTTTGTCTGGTGAAGACAGTGACCATGAAAACCCAGGATATGAACGAGTCCATGCACGGAATGCCGAATTAAAAAAAGCTGCTGCTCTTGATAATGACCCTGGCTATGAACAGGTTAGGCTAGCCGGTGACAGTCGTAATCATGTGATACCTGATGAGGACTATGAAGGTGTCACGTTGAGTCAGGTGGATCCTAACTATGAAACAGTTCACAATGAGGAGCCCAACTATGAAAGTGTTCAATATTGCAATAACTCCACCACAAGAGGAGATAGCTCTGGAAATAAATTTGCAAACAGAGACGAGGCATTAAATCCCTTACTCGGGAGTAATGAGAGCTAAACTTGTGCTTAGATATTATTTAGAAGTTTGTATGGAATATTGCATAGCATTTAAGATGTTCTGTGCATTTGACAAAGCAGCAGCAGCTTTCCTTGAAATTTGCCTCAAGTACTAAAGAAATTATCCTGTGATTAATAATTTTACTGAGAATAATTCCATGTTCAGTATTAATTCCAGTACTACTTAAGTATCTTTTACATATGGAAAAGTTTATGCTGAATTATGTATGTCCTTAAAAGCTCCAAGTTTTACTGTATAGCAGAAGCCATGAGTTAATTGTTACCGTACCATTATTTACCAATTTGCATATAACTTATGGATGAGATTGACTATCTTGCAGCAATCAATCCAATTCTCTTTGTGAGGAAATCTTTGCAACGATTATGCATCCTTGGAATTCCAACGATTTTCATTAGTAATTCATTGTTGTACATGTTCTATTAAGAGTAGTAAGACTTGAGAGAGTGTGAGAGACTAAAGTTTTTCTAACTTTTAAAATGTTATAGATTGTAAATGCTAAATGAGCTAAGCTAAAATTCAATATTTGACAGGCAGGAAGGGGACTTAGGTTGTAGTTCTGAGAGGATTGTGCAATTCTAGGAATCGTTGAGATTGACTGAGCACTCTCTGCATGTAGATGACTTTTCACTTCATTCCTTAGTTCTCCCTCTGCAAGCACACAATTATGTTGGAAACTTTTTCAGGTGGTGTAAGAAAACTTAGGTCAACAAGTTACTAGTCATCTACTTGAAGAGGGCATTTTAAGATACAACATATCTTTTAACATATTTTTATTTCTGTTGATAATATTAATATTGATTACATATTTTACAGTACAAAATTAAGATTTATTATGTAATGTTTGTAGATATTAATATTCCTTGCCAGTACGGCAATCTAATTTATAAAATAAAATATAAAGCACAAGCTACAAAAAATAATTACATTGCAACTTTCAACTTTTCGCAATTAAACCTTCATCTATTAGTTCCTGATAAATCAATTGACCTTTGTCTTCATTACAGAACAGGTCAATAGTAAGTGGAGTTTTCTTCTGAAATTTTTACACAACATTGTTAACACATTGACAAATGTATTAAAGGTATCAGGAATGATAAGGCAACTACTCACCACAACAGCAGCTTTTACATTCTTGTTAATCAATAATGCCAGCATTTTCTGAGCAATCATTTGTACATCCTTATCAGGTACCAAATCACAATTTAATTTACACTCGACTCCTAAAATTGGTGGCTGAAGCCACTTGTTAGGGATGGCTCTAACACTAGAAGAGAAATTATGAAATAATGAATGTCATTAAAACACACACACACACACTAAAGAAAAGGAAAGAATTTAATTGAGTAATCAAATTTCTGTTTAACTTACTGAAAAGCTGGCACACACTCTTCTTCACCAGAATCAACCTTCTCAATTGTGATGGTTGTTTTATTGATCTCCTTGACTCTACCGCGGTACCACAATCCATCACATGACAACACACAGCAAGGAAAACCTGGGAGAGAAAAAACAACAATAAACACTGCTAACATTATAAAACATGTACAAATTCCAATTCAACAATGCATCTTGCTCCTCAGTTCCTTACCCGGTGTAATTTTTGGCATATGTGGTTGCAAAGCAGCCTTTGCCTGCATTTCTATAAACATGCGTTCATAGTCCTTTACAAAATTCCACTGAAATCATAAAAAAATCTAAAAAATCTCCAATAAAATTTGATAACCAAGAATATGTTTGGTATAAAAATAACCTGCATACCTGCTCTGATTCTTCTGGAACATTTTTAATAAGAACAACTATTTCTGTTGGACCAAGTACAGAGAGTACAGTGACATCCCATCTATTACTTTTTGGCAGCACTGATGATGTGTAAGAATTTACAATTACCTGGAAGTAGTCAAGACAATAACAAGGAATAAGTTTTGCTCTAGGCAGGCAAGGTAAAGTTCAACTTACAAGGGAACCTTTTCAGGTGTAAATCTCCGATTTCGTTGGTACTCGGAAAATTTAAAGGTTATTATAATAGAAGTCGGGTGGCACTTGAAACTTTTCCTAAACTTAACATTTATTAGGGGTTTACTTAAGCCGGACACTGTTTTTTGCTCCAAATATCCCTCTACCGCTTTAACGGTTCAAAATAGAGCAAAACGGACAAAATTTTGACCCAGAGCGCACTTCTTTGACGAGTTACCCCATAGAACACTGCTTTACATTTTTCAAAAAATATTTTTTTCTAACACCTTTCTCCTACCTTATATAGGGGAAAACTAAATGTCAGGTTTAGGAAAAATTTCAAGTGCCATCCGATTTCTACATAAATGACCTTCCAATTTTCTAAGTTTCAACGAAATCGGAGATTTACACCTGAAAAGGTTCCCTTGTTAGCTTCAAATTTCACTGCAGCAATTATAACATTTTTGTGCTTACTTCATTCTCATTTGGCTGGAGTAAGAAGTTAACGTTTGAGTTAACACAACCATTTGAAACATGAGAAACTGCACTAGCCTCGGAAGCAGGTTTAATTGATTGAGAATGTGCAGTTGAAGTCTTCACCAGATTCTCTCTTTTAAATTCACTAAGAGGATTGAAACCATAACAAGATGGAGTGTCTGTTAAGAATTGTGGTGTTGCACTAGGTTCTGCTACAGACACATTTTCACTGATCAACAACTTCTTTCCTCTTCCAATTGAAGTCTTATGTATCATATTTTCACTTTGAATTTCTTTGAGTGGAGCTAAGCTATCAGAAGATGGTGTATATGGAGAAAATTGTAGAATTGAACCTGGATCTGATTGAGTTTGATACAACACACTGTCTAACAAATTCTTCCTTCTACCAATTGAAGTTTTGTTCAGAGTTTCAATTTGAACTTCACCATCAGAAGATGGTGTAAATGGAGGAAATTGTAGAGAAGAACTTAAATCTGCTTGAGTTTGCCCCCCACTGTTTGACAACTTTTTTCCTCTCCCAATAGTAGTCTTAATCAGGTTTCCATTTTGAACTTCACTCAATGGAATTGAACCATCAGAAGATGGGGTGTAAGGAGAGTATTGTAGCGATAAACTTGGTTCTGCATCACTTTGGCAATCACTTCTTGACAATTTCCCCCCTCTACCAATTGAAGGGGCCTTACTGACGCAGCACCTGTCATCCTCAATAACAGCGGGTTCCTCCAGCACCAGGACATCTGGGTCATCATCCTCCTCAGAAAGTGCTTCTGGAGCAATAATGTAGTTAACTGGCGTGAATGTTGCAAATTTCTTCTCTTCATTTTGTAAACCGGAAAGAAATTCACATAACAGTTAAAACAGCAAAATAAGACAAATAAAAGTATAAGTGTTAAAACTCACCTGATAATATTTCTGTTATACTTTGCTCATGAACAAAAATATCCACCTGAAACACACAAAGCAAAAATCATGTTCAAATTGCACAGTCACATATAAGAAGTATGCTTATTGGAGCTTTGAATTATTCACCTCATAGACATTATCATCGGAGGTGGGTTTCCTGAGCACCTTGACTGTGCATTCATTATCAACAAGAGTCCCATGAATAAAATCAAGAGTAGATATAGGCCATTTCCCGTCTTCGGAAGTCTGAAGTAAAAAAGTAAAATAACTTACAATGATAAAACAAACGCCTAAAAAAGACAATGTTATCAAAGGAAGAGCCTAACCCACCGGTGTAACACCAGATATTCGGCATTTTCGAGCAATAGAAGGCAATGCTTTGCAGATGATGTTCTTTCGAAGTTCCAATGAACGGCATACTTCAACATTACCATAATCAGCAAATTGGACCTCAATGCGGTTGTCAGGATTAACCTAAAAGGTAAAAATTAAGAAAAAGCCAAGATAAAATTAACATAAAAACTAACATTTCTGCACAATTTTTAAAGGTGAGGTAAATAGGTACTGTCATTTTTAATCTACCTTCATTACTTTTCCTCTGTACCACTTTTTGTCTAGATGGTACTGCACAACACAAAGATTGTTTGGCAACCAAAAGCTGTCCTCAGGGCCAGGCTTGGAACCTCTGTATTTTTTGTGAAGGCGCCTAGTTATTTTGCGCAGATTACGCACACTTCCATTTGAAGCTGCAATCAGAAATTTGTACGCATGAATTTTAAAGATTCTTATTAGAAGTATGAAAAAATAATTTAAAAAATTGGATGACTTTAAAAATCTTACAGTCTGACACTTCATGTAGGTAAACATTACAGTCAAAATCAACATAAGTCGGAAGTGCTAGAAAAGAATTCTCCGGAAGTGGTAAGGGAGGTAGCCAATTTCCCAATAGAGTCAGCGTTTCATCTACCTCATCCCAGTCCTCTGCACTACTACCAGAGGAGTCCTATTAATAAACAAGAGAGCAAGAACCAACTTCATTACATTTCCTACAACATGTAAAAGTTACTGACTAACCAGATGGGTTTTCTCACTTCTTTAAATATGATTGATGTTCAATTTTAAACACCAATGGTGTTTATATAAATAAATTCAAACAGGAAAGTTATCTCTTTTAAAAAGATAGACATGGATAGATAGAAAACTTATTATAGAGGTAAAGTGGGTTTTCTGTAAAATATGCTGTGCTTTTCATTGATTTATGACATCAGAATTACAGAATACTTAGTCATCCTGCTGTTTCTACTTATTTGTGTGAGAATGAAAAAAAAATCCTTTGTAATGCTTGGTTATTGAGGATAATTAGGAATTGTTTGGATACCTGGCTCCCTCTATCATACTCAAGTAAAAGAAACACAAAATCATAGTGGCTTTAAAGATGTATTCACAATATACAGTTTATGAAACACACAAAACGCACTAAGATATAACAATGAAACAAAATAACTTATATCAAGGAACATGCATGACAATGAGGATGTAGAAATAATGGGCAACAATTATCTTAGTACAAATCCAATGTTAAAAAGAAAAAGAAAAATTTTTCATGAGTCTACTTTTTATTATTGAGTGGGCGTACCTGAGATGTTTTTTCAAGCCATTCCATCATTGTCAGATCGGGATCATCTGGAGGATTAAGGATTTCCAAGTCACTACTAGTTAGCTGGGTATCCTCTTCACTCAACAATTTCCTGGAAAAAATGAAACAGTTTTGATTTAAATATATACTACTGCCTTAGACTAAGTGTTTACACCCAAGTGACATTAATGCACTTTACCAGTCTATAGGAAGGGCACATCCCTTCTCTATCAATTTCTTGTTGATGGTAAACCAGGTGATCTTGCTTGCCTGTAAGGCAGTCCCAACTAATTCACGAACCCACACTTCTATGGGCAAAGACCTTTCTTCTTTGTTAATTTGACCCTGAAGAAAAAAGAAATTGAAAATGAAAAAAAAAGTCATGTATACAAGATATAGGATACAACACACTTCATATCATCATACCTGTTTAGAAATATAAAGGTTCCTCTTGTGCTCATTCAATAAGTCAACCAATGTCGTACAGGCAAAAGCAGTCCAATTCGGTTCTGATTCGCCGTCAGTTGGGTGAGATCCAGCTGCTCTCAAATTAGCCAAGTGACATTTAATAGAGCCATCCGGTACTGTAGCAAATTTTGGATACAACTTTCTCATAGATTTTATATTAGCCACCTCCGTTCTACCAGTGTCCTTCAGCATCACCTAGCAAAGCAAAGAGAATGTAAGAAAACAGAGAGGTCATTTAGGCACAGAGACCATAATGATTTAGAATACCTTGAATTGTGAACCAGAAAGAACCTCTAAGATTAATCCTCTGTGCCATTGAAGATCATGCGGGCTCTTTACAGCACACCTATCTCTTTCTTTTGGTATCCAACAGTCACCTTCAGGAAGAGGCTCACAATCATAATACAACTGCATTTCAGCAGACATCCTGCAAATATATTAGGACATACAAAATAAAACAGTAGGAAGATGGAAAACTGTCGCCTCTCTTAAAAATATTTCACAAACCTTTCAATTTTTTCAGCAATACTTTTGAGTCTGACAAAAACACACCCAGGTGATTCAGCTGACAAGAGGTCAACAGGTATACGATAGGAACCATCTGAGTTATTAGAAACTTTCAGACGTGTCTGAACAGATTTTCCAGGCTTTTCATCTTCCTTATTATGACATCCTGAATTTATTCCAACCTCAGGAGTTATTTCCTGAATATCTGAGTTTCTCTCAGAATTATGGTCAACATTAACCAAAGTGGAAGATCTCTCAATAGGAACAAATTGACTCTCATCAGAATCTGAGCTCTCTCTTATAGAGGTCGTAACACCAGCTTCTGATGTCTTTTGATTAGAACTCATGGGTGTTTTCCCATTTTGGCAGATACCCACAAGACTATTAATATCAACAATGACAAGAGGGTTGCTCTGCTTATCCAAGTTACAATTTTCTTGGGCTGTGTCTTTTAAATTTATACACTGACTTAAGTCTTCATTTTCCTTTATCTGATCATGAAAATAAAAATTAGATGTTTTAAATAAATATTACACTTGTTAGTTTGACATTAAAAAATCAAACACCTACTAACCCCTAAAATTAGCTCGGCTTTCTTCATATTTGTGTCATCCATTGAAACAGAAGACCTAGAGAGAATACATAATATTTTAAGTAAAAAAAAAGTTGTATCATAAACCTGACTGACTATCCCTGCAAAATCTAGATAAAAGAATAAAGGAATGAATAATACCTTGTTCCAGTACTTCTTGCCAAACCTTGCTCTACCAACAAGGCATTTACATTGATAGATACTTGGGTGAAAATTGCAAATAGAACTACTTCATGCAAAGACCCTCTTGAACTAGACCCTTTTACACCAGTAACTACAATTGAAGAGCTCTCTGCATACTGATTCAGAAAAATTCTTGCTTCTTCACTCCAATTCTTCCCTTTGGGTGGAGCGATATCAGTTAATGAACAATGCACGGACTGTGGGAATATAAATGTGAGATTAATTCATGTGATGGTTAAAAAAAAAACATGCACTAGGCAAAGAACATACCAATTCCGGAAGTTTCAGTAGATCATCTGGAATGCTTCTCACATCATTCCGTGTCAGGACGCTTTTGTTTCCAAAATCAACATAGCGTATCAAGAGAGATTTAGATCTTTGGATCTCTTCAATGACTCCTCTATACCATGTTCCCTCAAATTTTGCCAAGCAAGGCATACCTGTCGGTCAAAATAATTTATAATTTTTTTAACAGTTCAGGATAGCTCATAGAATAATTAGCTGCAAAAATTAAACTTTTCTTCAAAATTGGTAAAAATTTATCTTACCAACACAGAATTTGTCAAAATTAGTCTTTGACTTGCTTTTATTGCAGTGATGATTTATCTTTTGGCTTAGAGCATCAAGATGTTTCATGTCCTACATATAAAAATGATAATAATAAATTCAAACAGGAAAGTTATCTCTTTTAAAAAGATAGACATGGATAGATAGAAAACTTATTATAGAGGTAAAGTGGGTTTTCTGTAAAATA